ATTGTTGTTTGGCGGGCCCGGGCTGGGGATTCAAACCCGCCACCTTAGGTGTATGTGGCTGGTGCCTTAGCCGCTTGAGCCACAGGCGCCAAGCCCAGGTAACCACAGAGTTGTTACGGGATCAATATGTTCATTAAAAGTTATGATGGATTTAAAGTAATCCTAAGAACTATTACAGGTAAGAATATCTTCTGAAGACTACTAACTAAAAACCTCTAAACTTGAATAAGAAAACAGCCACAAATAAAAATCGAGTAGCACGTGATCAAATAGTGAAACATAATTTTAACTGTCTATAAGAAAACCAATTTTACATTAGTAGAGTACATAAAATATAGCCCTAATAAAAATGATTAATATTAAGTAAACATGAAACCTTCCTAAAGGCTTTTATAAGAAAAAGAATGCTTAATCATGGTATACTAGACACAATCAGAAACTACTGAAAACCTGGAACATGCCATGACTTTTTCTAAAGACTTCTATTTTAACACTATGTTTTATTTTTTATTTTATTTTATTTTATTGGTTGCAGTTTTTGGCCAGGGCCAGGTTTGAAGCCGCCACCTCTGGTATATGGGGTCGGTGCCCTACTCCTTGAGCCACAGGCACCACCTTAACACTATGTTTTAAAAACCACTTGTCTTGCACAGCATTTGGCAAGTTCCAAAGTGTTTTTATGGAAGATATTCATTTGATTTTTTTCAATTAAGTACTAATAAAAGGGATCTGAATACCATTTGTATGAGTGTTATTTCATCTGAGTTACTAAAATGAAATAAAGAAAAAGAAAACCTTTACCTGACCAAGCGTTGCATCATTACACGCCTTCCTCGCATCCTGTAAGTAAAGAAAGATGAGCAGAACACGTTTAGATGAGCCTCTAGACAGGACGAATTTTTAAAAAAGAAACAGAACTATAGCTCACAATTTTGGGTTTTGTTTTTTTTGGAGACAGAATCTCACTTTGTCGAGTGTCATGCTGTCACAGCTCACAGCAACCTCAAACTCTTGGGCTCAAGTGATCCTCTTGCCTCAGCCTCCTGAGTAGCTTGGACTACAGGTACCTGTCACAATATCCTGGCTTTTTTTTTTTTGAGTCTCATTTTGTCACCCTCAGTAGAGGGTGGTGGTGACACAGATCACAGCAACCTCAACCTCCTGGGCTTACGTGATTCTCTTGCCTCAGCCTTCCACGTAGCTGGGACTACAGGTGCCCACCACAATGCCCAGCTATTTTTTGTTGCAGTTGTCATTGTTGTTCAGCTGGCCCAGG